TCTAGATATTGTAGTTCTCTAGAAACTTCTAATGCATGCTCTGGAACCCCCCGTATATTTTCTATAAAAAGAATAATATTATATACTATTTATAAAATTTAAGACAAAATAAAATCATTAAATCATTTTAATGACGATTGACTTTAACTAGTGATAATTTACATATATTGAAGTGGACAAGTCTGTAAATCATTTTTTAAGTGTTTTCATTTTAGTCAATCCGGTATTTTTTCTTTTCTAGCTAATACATGAATAAGAAGACTATAAAAGTTAGTGTCTAAGGTTATATTCAATGTACAGGGTGGGTCAAATTCGACGCTTTTAAATGGAAACACCCTTTTCTATAGGAGATAGACAAAAACTAATATCGGTGTCTGGAGCTCAAATTTCATCAAAAACATTATGGTGAAAACCGCACATCAATATTTGTTACCGTTTCGGAGTTACGGGGTGTTTTTCAAAAATGTGCATTTTTAACAAATCGCTGTAACTTTTTTACTATGGAAAATTTTGTATTTCTATGAAGACATTTCCAAAGCACCTTTTTACGTAGAATTTAATGGTTTAAGTATAATTTTTTTAAAATTAATAATTTAAGAATTATCAACAGAAAAATTGATTTTTTGTTTGGGACACCCTCTATATTTTTATTTAACTGAAAAGAATTTAAAATTACCTTTCCAAAAATATAAAATATAGCATACTTGATATTTTGTTACAATCCCCTTCGAAATACAGAATTTTTAAAAGTTCGCCACTTTTAACTAGTAGGCCTTGGACCCCTTATTGATGATATGCCCTTAATGGAACTCGAAAACATATTTTTCCAGCAAGACGACGCACCGCCTCTGAACGCTGAAGTTATCAGCAAATTTTTGCAGCCAATTTCAAGAATAATTGAATAGCTAATCAAGATCCTAGTCGTTGGTCATCGAGGCCGCCTGACTTAGTGCCCATGGATCTAATCCTATGGATATATTTGCGGAAGAATAAAGGTTCTTTATTCTTCCGTATAATCTAGACAAGAATTAGAAATACTTAGCAGTTATGAGAGGGTATCTTTCACCCCTACTGAGTTAATGAATTCCGCGAGAAATGTTCAAAAACTGCCCCGTCTGTCCATAACAGAAGACGGTCGATATGTTGAACACCTGTAGCAAAATCTCATGTCTTGGTTTGCTATTTATTTTTATTGTTATTAAATATAGTTTAAATGTGTTGATGTTGGTTAAATATATTTTAAATTGTTATAAAATTCTGCATTTCTCATAGCAAATATCATTTTCGTTTTAATTGATGCTCACAGCTAGAATTTTTTTGCATTACAGCCGGTGCCGTTCAAAGCCTACTTATTTAAAGCGGGCCAAATTTTTATATACTCTATATCTCGAAGAGGAATCGAGAAAAATATCAAGTGTGTTATATTTTTGGAAAGGGAATTTTAAACTCTTTTCAATAAATTAAAAATATACAGGATGTCCCATATAAAAAATCAAATTTTCTGTTGATAATTCTTAAATTATTAATTTTAAAAAAATTATACTTGAACCATTAAATTCTACGTAAAAAGGTGCTTTGGAAATGTTTTCATAAAAATACAAAATTTTCCATAGCAAAAAAGTTATAGCGATTTGTTAAAAACGGATATTTTTGAAAAACACCCCGTAACTCCTAAACGGTAACAGATATCGATATGCAGTTTTCACCATCATATTTTTGACAAAAATTGAGCTCGAGACACCAATATTAGTTTTTGCCTATCTCCTATAGAAAAGGGTGTTTCGATTTAAAAGCGTCGAATTTGACCCACCCTGTACATATACATACTGCCATTACTAAATGTAAAGCTCATTACGATGTAATGAGCTTCTAAGCAAACGACTATTTACTTAAAAGACATCCAGATTTTTAAATACCTTTTCAGATTCAAAATTTCTAAAATATTATTCTTCTTAGAGATAAACGATATCTAAAAACTATTCCAGCAATTATTAAATAAATTGGAATTGGATAATATTGGAATATTAACGATTATACGAATATTTTTCACAGCATCGCTTTGTTGTAAAATCTCACCTAAACTGGCTGCTAATATAAGCGCTATTAAAGAAGAAAATTTTCATTACTTAAATGTCTTTAATTGCATTTATAAGTCGACTTTGTGAAGACTGCCTTCACTCAGCAAGTAGATACAAAGAGATAGCGCGCAGCAACTCAAGGCAGCCGAAGCATCTCTCTAATTATAACAAATCTTTTAATTATTGCCTCGGGTCTCCCAGACAACTCAAAGGAGGTTTCGCTTTTGCGGTAATACATTCGTTTAACGAAAATGAATACTTTCTTCGCGTCTTTTCCGAGAAAATAGTTTGTCGGTTAAGGTGAGCTTTCCTTGAGGCTGAGAGGCAGTTTGTTTACAGAAAGGTTTCAACGGGATCGGTTATCAGATAGGTTTGTTCTTAAAGCAAAAGGCTTTTGAGCAAGAAGATGTTAATTGAAATTGCATTGGTTTAATATCTACTATAGTAGTAGAAAGTGGAAAAATTAGATAATTACCTTAGGTTACAAATATATTGGGGAATTTCATCTCGACGCGATGTTCTCCACGATGATAGCCGCGACGCTTACACCGCGCACTTACCCGCCGTCTTGTGAGCATCGCGGCTAGCATCGTGGTGAGCATCGCAGCCAGTATCATGGCGAGCGAATTGGCGAGCATTGCGTCGAGATGAAATGCCTCACTTTGTTAGTACCCTTATAAATCAAATTGTTATATACTTCATAATTTAGAAATAAAAAATTGATATATGAATATGTTCGCAAGACGACAGTAGTATAGAATGTGGGGTTCTATGACACTGAATAGTCTTCCTTCACTATTCTGCCATCGGCAGTTAAAAGGCGGCAAGTGACAAAACGATAGTTTTGAGAAGAACGGCAAAAACTTTGTAATGTTGTCCTTCACTAATAAGCATATATACATTCGATTTTATTGTTCAACACTAATTGGATATACTATATTTAGTTATTTAAAGGTATTTTTAGACAATAGAGCAAGTTTTTTTAAAAAAATGTTGGTTAATTCTTTCTTGCTTCGTTTTCTGTATTGAATACAGTAAGAAGTTGAAGTTAAAAGGCGGTAAGCGACAAAAAACTGCTCAAATGCCGCCTTTTAACTGCAAAATCTTTGACGTGCCGCTATTTAGAATCAAGTAAAATATGTTAAGGTTTTAACTTAAAAAAGATAAGTTTTAAGTAGCATCTATTTATTAAAAACACAGTTTATTTTTTAAATTAATAGTCATCTTGCAAATTTTAAGTAGTTTTATGATAACAGTTATATAGTAAAACGAATAATTTTAGCTATAACAGGGTGGTCTATAATGGATTGTTCTGTATATATTCTCATGCATTTTTTGTTTGCCTGCGGTGATTTTATAAACTAGAGAGTTGTTTTTGTTGTTTTACTTATAGATATAACAAAAATGATTAATTGAGAAGTGCCACCTCAAAAATCTTTGCATCCGGCGCTAGTTTGGTGTCTGCTTTTTTTTGTTTTACGCAAGAGGATACGTCGATGCCCCCTCTTCTAAAACCCAAAAATAAATTCACACTTCTGATCGATATACTATAGTATCCAAATTAAAAAAATCATAGCAAGGTTTTCATTTTTATTATTATTAAATTATATATATATATATATATATATATATATATATATATATATATATATATATATATATATATATATATATATATATATATATATATATATATATATATATATATATATATATATATATTTTCCTTGCCCTAAATTACGCTCAAAATAAAAAAAAAAATGAATGGATGAGTGAAAAATCTTTTCTTCAATAAATACAATAAATAATTTATTTATTGCCAATTAATTCGAAATATGAATACGAAACAATTAAACATTAAGATAACTCATAAATATATTTGTAAATATACTGATGTACCATTTAAAAGAAAAACTTATGGAGGCACTATAATAGTACTTATTTAATTTTAATGATACTTAATTTAATTAATAATACTTAATAATTATTGATAAATTTTACTAATTCTAACTATTATTTTTTTTTTTAATTTCAGGGGTGAAATTTATATTTTGTTAACCAATGACACAAATTTAGCTACAAATCCATCATATAAATATGTATTGAATAATAAATAATATGTAATAATCTAAAATACCTATAAAATAGTTTAAAAGCTTACATTTGCACAAAAGCCAATCACTATTATTATAATAAATTATTATTAATCACTTTATATAAGCCGAAAAATGCGATGCGAGCCTGGTTTCGCAATCGACTAATTCATCCCTCGCGAAATATACTGCCTTCTTACTACCAAATTTACGTCCGCGTAAGGGCGCAATAGTCACATACCGCTTTTTTACTACAAGTTTCTTCACGTATTTCACGATATTTAAAGAATAGGGTGGTATTAGACAATGCCGCCTTATAACTTCAAGTTTTACGACGTAGGTATTTGATATCCATCTTTTAGGAATAGAGCAATTACTGTCTAATGCCGCCTTTTTACTACATAATATGCATCATTACGTCATCATTTTTTAAATATAAATGGCATATTTGCAAGAATCCCGCCTTTTAACTTAAATATTTATACTTGCCGCCTTTTTACTTCCAAAATGGTGACGTTATGTCACTTGCAGCTATTCAAAATATTTTTGAATATTTAGATAGAGTAGGGTCACATTAGTCTAAAAATGCAAAAATCTCAAAATTGAAAAAAAATCACTTGCCGCCTTTTAACTGCCGACGCGACGGCAGTATTATAGTCGAACATAATTTTATATGGTTTCCAATGTGAAGAGCTTTTATCTTTTGACACTGGAAATACCTACTTACCTAAAAAATAGACGAAATATACTACTAACCTAACTAACGGTTTTTAATTTTTTGATTTTACTTCATTAAGTGTGGCTGCAATGACCTCCCGTAATCCTCCTGTTAAAACGTAGTACCAACATATACTGAGCCACAAAAACACGGAATTCTATAGACCCCAGCGGAGGAGAGTGAATCTCGTGGGTCTTTAGCCGAGCGGAGATGTTCTTGTATCTTTCGAGTGGGTTTGAGGATCGGTTTTATGTTCCTCTTTCTTAATAATTTTCCAATGCGGTCAGTGACCCCTCTGATGTATGGAAGAAATGCTACCCCACTAGGAGGTGTATTTTCTCCCTCTTGCCTTTCAACAGGTTTCCTAGGTCTTATGGCTCGTCTGATCGTCTGCTCTCGGTATCCATTGGCTTGTAAGGCTCTGTCTAGGTATTGTAATTCCTCAGTGATGTGTAGAGGTTCACAGATTCGGCGGGCTCTGTCAACAAGTGTTTTTATGACCCCTCTTTTTTGATCGGGATTGTGATTTGAATTATTGTGTAAGTAGCGATCGGTATGGGTGTTTTTCCGATACACCTTATGTCCCAAGCTTAGGTCTTGTCGTCTGTTGACTAGTACATCCAATAAGGCTAGCTGTGTGGCCTTCTCTACTTCCATCGTAAATTGGATCTTGGGGTATATGTTATTTAGATATTGGAGGAAAAGATTAAGTTCGTCTATTCCGTGTTTCCAAATTACGAAGGTATCGTCCACATAGCGCAGCCAGCAACTGGGTCTTTTTGTCTTTTGATTGAAATCCACAAACATAAAAACAATTTCAACAGAAAAGAAGAAGGGCTTCCACGTTAACAAAATATGGTATACGCTGCTCGATAATACAGAAATAAAACGTCCCTTCACCAGCGATCACAAGCAAACCACGCCCCCTGCACACCGCCTGGGCCAAGATGCTATAAAAGGCGCGCAACCCCTCCCCTCCGTATCAATACCGGTCCAGTCGTCGAGTCGTTCACTTCGCCCTCGACCACTGATGAAGACTGCCGCAGATGAAGACTGCCGCAGATGCAGTCGAAAGCTATGGAGCCAACCACCACGGCCTAACAGCCCGCAAAACCGTTATTATTCATAATACCGGCCGTGAAAGCCTACACAATTATTTTTATTGTCCAAATATTTAGTAGAAAGTTAAATAAATGAATCTTCCTGAACACACAAATTGCAAAATTTGATTTTAACTGGCAACCAATATAAGAACCATTAAAACAGGTTAAATTTTCATGAATTAAATTACTTTTATTGCTTTTGTGCGAAAGACGAAATTGTGGATTGCCACTCTGTACGTAAATACAGAGGGAGAGCAGGCCCATCTCTCTAATTATAAGAATCATTTAATTATTGCCCCGGGTTTCTACGGCATGACAAAGAAGGCTTAGAAATTGCGGCAAATGCACTCGATTATCGGGAACGGATATTTTCTTGGCATCTTTGCATGGAAAAGATTTTGTCTGTCAGATTTTTTTCACGAATAATGGGCCGTCGCACAGTGTGGCGGATGATAATTCTAGCGGGACGAAACCTCAGAAGCGATGTTTGGGACTTAAATAAAATCTGAGAAGGTAGCAAATAGTCTAATATATAGCAAATCGAATTTTTGTAGAAAACTATTTGCTTATTTTTATCAGAGTTAGTTGTGTATCATCAAAACTTCAAACTCAAAATTTTGCTTCAAATATTTTTTACCACCACTACCATCAACACCCCATTTAACATACAGGATAAGTTTGATAGGAGAATTATCGCCATTTAATGCAAAAGAAGATCCTATTTTTGAGACTCTATCAATCTTCTTGAGAAAACGATTGAAGATTAATCGCTGAAACCTTCTCTCCGAAATTGTTATTCCATTGTCATACAAACCTAACAATTTGTCTTAGCTGCCAAAATATGCTTGTAACTGGGAAACACATCTTTGAAATTGGCATTGAGCTTTTGTTAATTTCAAATCAGTAAAGCTTCATCAGGCGAAAAAATTCCGTTGGTATCATTCATTGACTTTTTGAACTCAGTGCTTTTCGATAGAGTTTCAGTTAAGGTTTCAACGATTACAGCAGCATACCTACTCCCACTAACTTTAAAGCTCATATTAGTTTCAAAACCCAATTCTTCTTTTGAATGCTCTTCTATTAACCCTTTAACGAGACTTTGTCTCGTTTTTAAACTAGCCGATTGAAGTAAAATTTTTGGGGGCTAAACTTGAACTCCCTGTAACTAATAAAATGCCTTTTAGCCACGATTTATTATATTTGCGAAACTTGTTCAAGGAAAAGCAACTTTTTTCCACTTTCGATATAAAACAATGAAAAATGACCACAGCTGGGTCTCAACGCCTTTCTTTTCATCGTCACTAAGATAGTTGAGATACAAGAATTGCATCACAACTTCACAACATCCCACAAAACGATCAAACTGCTCTTAGATGTTTAAAACACATTTTTTTCTTGTGCGAGACTCTTAAAAATATGTTTTTTTTCAGCAGTCTGGCCGGTGAAAATAAATATGGGCATGGAAACTACAAATATTCTAGCTTCAAAATTGTTTACTACTTTTTGGTAACTATCGGTAACTCAAAAGATCTACATCATTCAATATATCGATTTTTGAAAAAAAGTGGAAGTTTGATATCTGCATAACAAAGGCACGAAGGATTTTGACCAATAACATACGTACACAGTGGCGGATACAGAGGGGGGCCCATGGGGTACGAGCCCCTTTTAAAATCTGTAAATTGGGTTAAATATTAGGCTTTAGGGTTAAAAATGGCACCCTAAAGAGCATGTTCTACATTTCTTTTTATTTGGACCCCCCTTAAAATAAATTTGGCAATCTTCAAAATAATTTGGTTTGGGTTGGTTAGGTTATTTTTCAAGTCTACTACTAGTTATTTCCTGCAAAAAGCGTAGCAGTCTTTCTTTGTTTGTCAAAATTCGAAAAAATGGACAAAATGCATCTAGAAAGTCTGCTCTTCAATTATGGGTAATTACGGAAAATCGCAGATAAACTGACTTTAGTTATAAAATTATATATTATTTTAAAATCTATACTAATATATAAAATCCTTAAGTGACTGACATACTGATTAATCACGATCCTGTTCAAACCACTCAACGTAAGAAGCTCAATTTTGGCATACAGGTTGATTCTACGGTGTAGAGGTTCAATAAGAAGGGATTTTTCGAAATTCCAATTGCAAGAGGCTGAAACCATCCCTCAAATATTACAATATTTTTTATTTAAAAAACGGTCAAGTTTCCGAAAAAACGCTTAAACACGTATATTTTATTTTGTTTTTTTTACATATTTTAAGATTTTTTAAAAATGTGTACAGGGTGTTTCGAAAAATCTGATCATTGATTAATCACGATCCTGTTTAAAGCGCTTGACGTAAAAAGCTGATTTTTGGAAAACAGATTGACTTTTGGGTGTAGAGGTTCGATAAGAAGGGATTTTTCGAAACTCGAATTCTAAGGAGGTGAAACTATCCCTCAAATATTAAAATATTTTTTATTTAAAAACCGGTGAGTTTTTCGGAAAAACTCTTAAACACGTATATTTTATTTTGTTGTTTTACATATTATAAGATTTTTTATAAATTTATACAGGGTGTTTCATAAAGTATGACCATTGAGTAATCACGATTCTGCTTAAACTGTTTGACGTTTAAAGCTGATTTTTGGCAAACGGATTAACTGTGGGGTGTAGAGGTTCTATAAGTAGGGGTTCCTCGAATCTCAAATTCTAAGAGGGTAAAACGCCAATATTTGTTATTTAAAAAACGGTTAGTCTTTCGGGAAAACGCTTGGACAAGCATAATTTATTTGTTTTTTTTTACATATTTTGAATTTTTTTAAAAAATCATACAGGGTATTCCAAAAAGTTGGGTAATTGATTAACCACGATTCTGCTTAAACTGCTTGACTTAAAAAGCATATTTTTGGCAAACGGATTTTTCGAAAGTCAAATTTCAACGAGATGAAACTACCCCTCAAATATTACCAAGTTATATAATAATATCGCCATATTGTTTTTTCTCATGCTGACATAAATGTGAGAAAATTTTATCCAGTTTGTATGTTAATGGAAATTCCTTGCTTTGCTTTATCATTACCATTACAAATGTTTTTATTTACCGTTATAAAGTAAACTCTGATAATATACAAGATGTATCTATGTGTTAGATATTTAATCACTAAATTATAAATTCTCCGACATATTTTTATTATTTAGTGTATTAGATAATAACATACTTTAAAATAATTCTGTAGTGAATCAATATTCATTTTCGGTATCTAAATTTTCTAAATTGCAGTTATTTGGTGCTTTGAACATATTTTTTTGAACATATTTGAAATAAATGATATCGCCCAGATTGACCCGAAACGCGTAGCATTACAATAAGCCGGTTGTTGGGAATTTAGCGCAGATTATTTCCAATTAAATCCATCTATTTCATGGATATTTGTTTTCCATTCGCCCATTTAATAATTCCATTTATCAGTGACCTAAATTCCATCAATAGAAATGAATTTCGGATATTTTTTACTAACAGTTCTGTTTAAAATCTTGATCTTTTAATGTTTTAAAACTTTTAACCTAAAAATATAAATGAAATCGCTAAAAGTACTTGGAAGAAAATTAGAATAAAAAAAAATAAGACTTTAACACCCTGTAGCTACGAAACAAAGCAGAATCGGACCTATGTTGTTATAAGAAATAATTCCTATTTTTACATGAGGAATCTCCCCACGAAAGATGGCACATGTTTTATGAAACACCCTGTTATAGGTGCAATCGTTTTCTACTTGATGCAATCCTGGTCTGGTTCTGTAGGTTTCGTTTTGGGTTAGCTGTATTGGATATTTAGTATCGCGGTAGTAGTAGTCGTTTGATAGCTGACCACTGTCACAGTCGTATCACAAGGACACCACCACGTATCACAAGTTACGGGTTAGATTTCTATTATTTTATTTAAAAATTTATTATTATGAATTCATAATAACAAGCAAAATTTTAAAATAAGAAACAAGCAAAAAAGGTACCTAAATACGTTTATTTATTGTAAACATTAATTATAATATCAGTACAATTGGTTAAATTAATTCCAGACGATGACAGGTGAGTTGAATTTTTAGAAAGTAAATTTATTTTCTGAGTTCTTGAACTTGTTGAAGACCCATAATTGCCAGAAATGTTACCCAAAATATTACATGACACTTTTTCTTATTTTCTTTGGCATTTTCTATAAAGCTCTCTGCCACTATGTTAGAGCGCCAACCACCATGTCTTTTAACAGTTAATAAATCCACTCCTGAATCTGCAAGCAACGACAGTGTATTGTTGTGGATTTGGAAGGCTTGGAAACAATGCTATTTTATACTGCATTTTCCCTAAGGTATTAATGCCAACGGGTTGCTTAATACATTTTCCATTTCTGTACCCCACAAAAATCGAGTATGCTCTGTGTTGCTTGGCCGCATATCTATATATCTTCGAACTGTTTCCACCATATTTAGTCCTTCAACATTCCCTTTCGTTATAGAAAGATCTCGTGATATCTTTGTTTTCGTAAATCGAATAATGACATGAATGCATTGTCCTTC